TAACACAAAGAAACTTGTTTATAGACACTTATCAACGTTCCTAAGATGTTTATTGACATTGATAAGACTTTATTAGGTTCATATTAATGCCTTATAAAGGTTAATAAATACTTTATTATGCACTTAAGAGTTAATAAAGCTCCTCTGCAGGTACTGGATCTAAAGTGGGAACACTACTTATGAAGATTAATAAATACTAAACGCAGAAACAAAAAGGAGGTCTGTTGAACTTCCACTCAAACAGTTTTTGGAGAAAAAAAAATGCTACTACAAATACAAGTATTATCTGAAGGTTAACTGTAAACAACATTATGAAAACATTTGGTGTGTCATAGCTACCAACATATCTGATCAAATTCAGGGAAAAAGCATAGTTGTTTTTAACCCTGGTATTGACAAAAGAACCGAATTATGTACTTGAAAACGGGGAACTTCCAAGTGCTCCAGAGTTCGGTTCGCCCTGTGAGAACGTGGTCCGAACCAAGTGAGGGAAGAGTGTGGCTAATGTTAGCATCGCTAACAACAGCCTTCAGTCCTCCTTACAGGTTAAAGTATTCATGCCTGTGCTAAATGTGGCCACACCTTTTTCTCCATTTTATAGATCAAACTACTGCCAAACTGCGTAGCGCTATTGAATGCCCTTCTTCCACTGTCCTGTTGTTTACTTTCAGGTCAAAGCGCAGCATTAGGCCAGATTGCAGTATAGCCACTGACTCAGGCAAGACTGATTCTTTATTGAATCAGTCTTGCCTTTTTTTTGGTGTCATGGTTTGGTCGACACATCTTTAAAAGATAGAAATTCCTTAAACCAAAGTGTTAAATGGTAAAGTTGGCTGACTCACAGCTCTACCCAGCATCCCTGTTTACTGGACAGTTTCAGCGGATAGCTATATACCTCTATCTTAAAGGATGACAAACCCCTTTGCACAGTTATTTTCAGCTTCTTTTCTGTGAACGGAGGTCCAAAGGTGCAGAAGAAAGTTTCACTATCACTGAACTAAACTAGCTGTCGCGATGTTTGCACAAACAAAACTAATTTTATCCGAGCAGAAGGAATAATTTATTTATTCAGGCAAGTTTGACTTTTTGTTTAACATTCGCTGTTCTCCACTCCAGCGGAAACACTTCTAAATAAAATCTGCAGTCCATCCTTAAAAAGGGCCATTCCAACAACTTGAAGCCCAGTTAACAAATGCAGTGAGTAAAACACTCCCTTTTCTTGGGCTGACAGGAAAAATACAAAAGGACAGACCTCGGAGTGCATCTTCAAACACAATCAGTTGAAATGTAGAACAGCACTGTAAAAAAAACCCAACTAGTTATGACTTAAAAAAGTTAGTGTCTGGGTTGCCTTAAAATGTTAAGTCACTTAAAAAAGATAAGTTGAGATAAATTTGTGAGCATTCCAAAGAAATAAAATGTTCTATAGTCAAACAAACTTGACATCAAGTCAGTTGTACTTAAATCTTTAAGTTCACAAAACTTTTGAACACAACTCAGTTCCGGTGAAATTATCTTGTTATCTAGTTGAGGCAAAATGCTCTTTCAATTTCTTTTGACTTGAAATCCAAGGTTAAAATACTTTATCAAAAGTTGAATCCATCTAAAATATTGAGTTAAATGAATTGATCAATATAAATTGAATATATATATTTATATTTTTGTCAACTTAAATCAGTTCAGCGTATACATTTTTAGTGATTCTCTTCGCTTTTGTGGAAACTTTCAACTTCCTTTCAAATACAAATAAAAAAAAGGTATAATCTCTACAGGTTATTCGTTTTATCATAGAAACCAACCAACTTTAGTTCTTCAACCTTTGATAGCAGATCAGATCAAATAGCAAATCTAAACATTTACAAATGTTTTTACCACTTGTTGGTAAAACAATTTCCACCCAAGAATGTGCAAAAAATCAGTTGTCCTCCTTTTGCTGCATTTATCATTTATCGGTCACTTTTCTCAGTATTTTCAGATGCAATAAATGTATAAAATCAGGTAATTTACACATTTAATGACGTGATCTTACTGTGGTAACACAAACATTTCAAAAAAAGATCTGTGAGACAATGTCCAAATATTTCTTGGAAGCTTTCAGAAAACTCTTTCTCAGTCCATGGACCCTTGAAGGGGGCAGTGGTCACCACCGATATTCAATAGGTTCTTCTGTATGACTTAAAATGTACAATGTACTTCCTTTTGGTAGTCAATGTTAATTGCATACAGCAGACCCATGAGCATAGCTACAATGCAGAAATTTCCCCCATGAGGGATCAATAAAGTTTATCTTTACCATATGCTACCAATAGTCATGCTGCTTGATCTGATGCTCCAGGACGACCTCATCTTTTATCACCAGGAGGATGCTGACGTTCATATGCTTTGTTATGCCGTCCTCAGTGTCTGTAGATTTACTAAAGACAGAAAAAAATAGATATAGCTGTAAATTGTTTGTAATACTCTCTGAGAAACAAAATGTTTAGCCGGCAGATCCCCCGATAATCCTTCACTCTGTGAGTGAACTGAGCACAGACACAAAATATGGCAGCGCCCAGTAAGACCTCAGGGTTTCTCTCTTCCTGCAACCCTAGCCCTGTGGTAACTCTTAGGGGAGTTTACAGTCAGCTGAATCAGCGCATAGAAAACTTGACATAACATTGTGACAAAGTGGGTGAGAAGCTCTTCTCTTAATCACCACTTGTCATTTAAGTCTTTATTTAATATCAAATCACATCATTAATTACAGTTGTGTATTTAGCTTTAATTTATTTTGTTTGTGTAACATTGTAGCACTTACTACTATCCCAGGTTTGTTTGTGTTAGCAATAAGTTACAGTTCACATCAAAGCATAAATTAACTTAAAGCAAACAAACAGTCTTGACTTTGTTCAGTCATTTTTATTTAGTTTCTGGAACTGCAAAATATAATTGATTGTCTTATCCATACTTACCTCTGTTAGTTCTTTTGTTCAGTTTCCCATGTGGTTCCATGCAGTTAAAGGGGATAGCCCAGCCTTCCTGGGTATTTATCAGATTGATGATGTCATCGCTGACATCACTGGAGCAGACCATTTTGAAGGGGTTTTATTTCTGAGAAATGTTTTCTTTCTAATAATTTCTTTCATGTTTGAGTTACTGGTAGAATGTAATTTAATTATTTAAAGTTAATTTAGTTGAGTAAATGATCTGAGGTTAATTTAAGGGTTTATGTAGATTTCTTTGCTTTAAGGAAAAGTGTAAACCCACTACTTGAGTTGTGCTGCACCCAGCTGCGGCCATTTTGTTAATGGGGCCATCTATAAAGCCAGGAGACGTGTGCTCTTGCATGAGGAGAGGTGAGGACGTGCTGCCTTTAACATGTTCTTGTCTGATTTAATCATGAAGTAAGTTGCCTTATTTACATTGAACTTTTGTTGTTTTGTTAAGTTAACACGTGTTGGTTTAATCACTGTAAAAATACTCACCTTGGAAAATCTTCATCTGCTGAGTTGCCTTTCTACAACCTTCCTAGACAGTTGTGCTAACTACTTTACAAACACTGAGATTGACATTTCTTTCCATGTATCTAGCGATGTGGAAAATTCCAGGCTTTGGTCTGCAGGGACTCAGACTTTTTGACAAAGTCCAATCAATCAATGTGAACACTACTGTGCCAATTTGTAAGTGTGGAACTGCTGTATTTTTTTTTTTTTCAGATGCAGGCAGATCCCAGTCTCTCCTCCTCCAGTGGTTCAAATAGGAGTATTGTTGTTGCTGATAAAATGGTTATCCTGTTTTGATCAGAGTTATCAAACCTTCCTGCTGCTTCTGGTCATCTCAGTAAGTTCCTCTTGTCTCTGACTCACTGTTTGCTATCTGTCAGGGGCCTGTATCAGAGAAGGTTCAACAACCCATCTCGCTAAGATGACACAAATGTGCTTAAAAATGACTTTTATATTAAAATGCAAAACATTGAAGTTAATGGACCCATCATTAGGGCCTTGCTTGACTCCGGCAGTGATTAGACACTGGTACACAGGAAGTTTGTACCACCCAACATTGTCAGCAGCAGTGACACCATCCTTATCTGTTGTGTTCATGGAGATGAGAAGCCTTATCCAACAGTTGACATCTACATTAAGGTTAATGGTCAAACTTACCTTTTGAACATTGGGGTTACTGATAATCTGTCTTTTGATGCTGTTCTAGAAAGAGACCTACCAGTTCTTTTTGATTTGTTGGAGCCAGAACAAAGCAGACAGTGTAACGCTGTGGTAAACAGAACGCAGGCCAGGCAATCCAATGAGCTACTTTTCAGTGAGGAGTTGGAGACCACACCTGGGAAGTCTTGGAAAACCCGCAGACAGACAAGAAATTCCAAAAGACAGTGATGACACCACCAACCAGCACTGAGCCAGAGTTACCACTAGGGTTTCAAGTTCCAGGTGATATGCAGAAAACTGAGCTGTCTTTGGTCTCTCTCATCAACAAGAGTCAGCGTTGCAGCTAGTGGTTCCCCAAGCAGCTAGAAACGCCATACTTGCCTTGGGGCGCTCGGTTCCCTGGGCTGACCACCTGGGCCCACAAAACCACAGCTCGCATTAAAAACCATTTCCACTGGCCTGGCCTGCGCAGACATGTTGCCCTCGGTGCCAAATAACATCTGCTAAAACACCCCCCAGAGCTCCACTTCAAACACTACCCATTATTGGCACCCCATTTGAGTGCCTTGGGATGGAAATTTTTTGGTCCTGTAGAGAGAACCAAAGCAGGGAACCGTTATATGCTGGTTATAACAGACTTTGCTACCAAGTATCCAGAAGTCTTTCTACTAAAATCTGTCCATGGTTTCTGTTTGGTACAGTTCTTTTCAAGGGTGGGCTTCCCTTGTGAAATATTAACTGATCAGGGAACTAACTTGATGTCTACTCTGCTGAAACAGGTGTACCAGTTACTGGGTATCAGGAGCTTCAGGACTACACCATATGTTCCTCAAACGGATGAGCTAACAGAGCGCTTTAACCAGACCCTGAAACAGATGCTCCGGAAGTTGGTAAACAACAATGGTACAGACTGGGATCAATGACTGCCATACCTCCTTTTTTGCATACAGGGAAGTACCCAATCCTCCACTGGTTTCTCTCCGTTTGAACTTCTGTATAGACATGAAGTTTGGGGGTCGTTGGCACTGTTGAGAGAGATCTGGGAGGGTGGGATCTGTTAACGTTGTATCCCATGTCATCCAGATGAGAGAGCGGCTGGAGAAAATGGGTGAGCTGGCCCAATCGCATGTGGCGGATGCTCAGCAGCAACAGAAGTCCTGGTACGACAAGCCAGCCAGGCAGAGATTCTTCGACCCTGGACTGAAAGTGCTGGTGCTAACAAACTGTTGGTTAAATGGCAAGGACTGTTAAAAAACCTAAAGAAACTTGGGCCAACCAGGTACTGACACCAAGGCACTCACGCTCCAGTAGGGTACTTCACACAAATCTCTTAAAAGAGTGGGTGCCGCGACCTGAAAGAAAAACAGAAGTGATGCTAATAAGTGTGCTGGATGAAGAAGTGGATGAGCAATACTACCTCTATAGTGACCTGGTAGACCATGATCTCAGTAACCAATCAGAAGGCCAATGGCTTCAGGTGAGCTCTATCTGTAATTCAGATGTTTTCCAAGAGAATCCTGGGAGAACAAACATTGTTGAACATGACATCGTTGTTAGAGAAGGTGCTTCTGTGAGAAGATTAACTTACAGGATCCCTGAGCGCCTGCTGGCCTCACTGAGAAGGGAAGTTAACCTGATGCCTTCCCTGGGGATCATCGAGACTTTGAAGAGCTAGTGGTGTAACCCAATGGTGCTTGTACCAAAGGATGGAAGCATAAGGTTCTGCATTGATTTCAGGTACCTGAATTGAATTTCTCTCTTTGATTCAGCCAACACCAATAATGTATGAACTGCATGTTCAATAGATCTCTACAAGGGTAATTGGCAGATTCCTCTCACCGATTGGTCACAGGAACTGACAGCCTTCAGGACACCATGGGGCCCTTTCCATTAGTAATACCATTTGAGTTTCAGCAACTTTCCAGCGACTCATGGACCAGGTAATTTGTTATTTATCTGGTTTTGCTGCAGCATATCTAGATGACATTGTCATTTACAGTAACACGTGGGAGGAACATCGGCAAGCTGTCTTGGATCGCCTTCATTCTGCCTGGCTGACTGTCATCCTATCGAAGGACCTAGGCCATATCATCAATGGGGTTGTACGCCCTCAGGTCAACAAAATCCAGGCCATAGAGTCCTGTCCCATGCCACAAACAAGGAAGCAGCTCCGATCTTTTTTGGGCTATCAGGCTTCTATCACCACCTCATACTCAATTTCTCCAACAGGGCAGCTCTTCTCACAGACTTGACTAGATCCCGGAGTCCCAATCAGATCCAGTGGACAGAGACGGCAGTGCAGCTTTCAGTGATATCCAGCAATTACTAAGTAAGCAACCTTGTCTGTATAGCCCAAACTTTGACGAACATTTTCTTCTGCAAACTGATGCTTCTGACAGGGCTTTGGGAGCTGCGTTACTCCAGGGACTTCAGGATGATCTGCATCCAGTCGCCCACATCAGCCGGAAACTGTTCCTCAGAGAGATTCGATATTTGCCGGTGGAGAAGGAAGCACTGGCTATCAAGTGGGCCCTTGATTCCTTCCGGTACTACCTTCTTCTTCAAGAGTTCACCTTGGAGACGGATCACAAGGCCCGTTTGGTTTGTAAACTTGGTTTACTATTTTTGGGTAAAATAAAAACCTACCTTTTCTTTAACCTTACTCCTGTGTCTCATGCCTTACTGCTTGGTCCCTAGCAGTCCCCCACAAGAGAATCCTTCTCACCAGGGTAAGAGTGTCTATAAGACACACTACAAGTGAAGGCCTGTGTCTGGCCATGAAATGTTTGTCTGATTTCACCTATGGCTTTGATGATGTCACCAGTTGTAATAATCCCAATGGATTTCATTACCTACATAAAGATGTGGGTTCTTTTTTTAGGCTTTGGTAGAGAAACCATCCAGTGACAAGAAGACGTACCACTATCTCCTCACACAGTACTACGAGGGAAAATACGTACACCCATTTTTCTGCCGTACGTACATTTGATAAGTGAGGGCCAATATGTGTTATGTTTTTGTCAACAGGGATATACAATGTGTTTCTACTCATGTAAAGGATGGGTTTTTCCACATTTCAAACTTTGCCTTATTGTTGACCAAATGAAACATAATTTTTTTTCTTTTTGTCATTACAGCCATAGAAAAAGTGGATGTAGGATCTTTGAAAGAGGTTAGTCGAGACCCTCTTCTGTTAGGGTTATTTTTTTTTTTTTCAGCTCCAGTCTCAAGTCAAGATAGACTTCTGCTCGACCAATGATTACCACATCAGTGGTGATGCTCAGTCTGGGCCATGAAAACACTTGGTGAGTTATTGTTTTATTACAGCGCTTGAAAAATTAATTTTCGCTGGTGTATCCATGAATTAAACTATATTGCAAGATATCCTTGCTGCCTTGTCCATCTTATTCGTTTATCACTGATGTTTTTCCAACTGCATTTTAAACTGGTTTTGGCTGTAATTATATTCCCTCTGGGCACATTTGTGGACAAAATCTGTAATATTTGCTTTTGTATTTTGCTGTTTTTTCTGGCCTTTTTTCCTGCTTTTGACATACGGAAAGAAATATCGCGTAAGGTTCCTCTCTCGCCCCCGGTCTCAGGGGTGTGAGAGAGACAGCGCTATAATAATAATTGGTAGTGAACTTTCTAACCAATCAGGTGAGACTCCCAGCATTCCTAGCTGGCTGATCTGAGACCTGTTGTTTGCCTGCCAGCCATATATTCCTGCTTAGCCTATTCTCTGGGCTGAGAACATGCGTGTTAGTTTAAATCCAACTCTTCTGTCCTGACTGAGGGTACAAACATCCATAGTGTTCAGCGGTAGATTGGGGGGGGGGGGGAAAAAAAAACAACACAATGTTGGCTGTTGATCAAGGCTGGATCCGCCTCGATGCTCACAAGTGTATTGAAAAATGCCTAGTCCTGTGCAATTGTAGCATCGCTGCTAACACTAATAAGATACATGTAAAATGTCATATGCCACTGCTAATCAGTTAGCTTCTGTGTTGTGACAAATGTAGTATTTATTCAGGCTTTTTGTGATCTGTAAGAGCAAAAGTTTGACACCATGAAGGGTGAAAGTAGCTTAGCCACAGTATGTATGTAAATGAGTAAGGAATAGTTTAATGGAAGTTATGATAAAAGTTTTTTCCTCTTTTATTAATGTCACTCTCTTTTGTGGAGTCCCATACATAACTTCAGTGTTTCTTATTACAGTAAAGTGTCCTATATTGTCTTATCAATAAAAAGCTCAACAGTAAATTGATATGGAAGATATTTAACCTTTTTTGCAGTACAACAGAGCTAAAGGAAAATTGTGAATAAAAACAGATGTTATTTTAATACTTGGTGTTAGATGTTCAGTGCTTAAATTGAGATGACGCCTGTGTTGATGCTGACATGCATGTTTATCTTTATAGGGATGGTGTGACCTGTCTGTAGGTCAGGTTTTGGTAAAAGGTGGCTTTTGGGCTCATCCAGAAAACCATCCACTGACAAGAGCATCCATCCATAGAACTGTGAACAGCTAACTGGATAGTGAGCCCAACCTTCGAGACTGCAAGTGGGATTAAGAAGACGGTTTCTTCTAAGGAAGAACTTCCTTTACTACTTCATAGAGCAGAAGCACAGATTAAACAGAAACATACACCAATGAAAAAGACTGGGATTAGACACTTCAAATGTTTGTTTTATTTCATGTGCACACTTTATTAAATTAGTTGTTAATTGCGTATTGTAATCGTGACCTGCAATATTTGGGTTCCTTACATACAAAGTTTGAAAATGTATTCCTGTGTGCGTCTCTTGACTGGTATTCAGACCTTCGGCTCCAGGAGTCCTAGTCTTCTGATGTTTGTCCACCTTCAACACTTTATGTACAGTAACATGGGTTAAAAACAACTATGCTTTTTCCCTGAATTTGATCAGATATGTTGGTAGCTGTGACACACCAAATGTTTTCATAATGGTTTTTGCAGTTAACGTTAAAGACAACTTGTATTTGTAGTAGCATTTTTTTTTAAACTGTCTGAGTAGAATTTCATGTGCATAATAAAGTATTTATTAACCTTTATAAGGCATTAATATGAACCTAATAAAGTCTTATTAATGTCAATAAACATTTTATGAACATTGATAAGTGGTCACTAGTGGTCTAGTGATTTTATTAATTTTATGACGTATATAAAGTGTCAGTACATTTCTAATAAGAGCCTATAAGTGTATTATAAGACATAATAAATGTGTTAATTATGCCTATATTAACAGTCTTATTTGTGTTAATAAGACTCTAATAAGGTCTTATGAGTGACGTATTACCTGTTATTAATGCTTATTACAAGCACCCTAATATAAAGTGTTAACCTTGTCTGTCCTGATCGCCTCCATGAGAGATTGAAGAAATGAAAATTGCAATTAATTCTGAAAAAAGACAATCTTTGGGTTTGTTGTCTGAATATTTAATAACAGTGTGCAAGAATTTAAGATTTTCTAACTTGGCCTATATTGAAAAATTGTGTTATTGTTACCCTATTCATTTTGCCTCCATCCCCTTGCTTGTCTAATTGTATCAATACTATTTCATAATTATTTACTCTCAGTCCTTGGCACTAGAAAACCTCTGTTTTAGTTTAGTCAGCATTTCTTTGTCTCAATGAAAGTTTTATTCCCCTTAAAAAAGCCAACATAAGCTATACTGTTTCTCATGCCAGACAAAGGAAGGTTGTAGAAACAAACATTGCACTGTGTGCAGTGTAATCCATACTAATTCATCTAACTGGTATGAGGAAGAATGATTCCCCATCTTTTTTTTCGGCAGTTTCATTCTAAATACATAAAGGTGTATTTTGCTCTTTGTAATTTGATCCGTCTTTCTGGTTTGAAGGTGTTTTTGTACATTTGACTATCTCTCGGGAAACGTTTAAAAGAAATCACAGAATGTTCGAACTTCAAATGATTATAAATGTGCTCCAATTCCACTTCAAGCATTTTTCATCGGGAAGAATCCTTCTATTTGCTGTTCCCTCTTACAAGTGATCTTTGGGGTTTTGAATAAGCTCTGCAAGAGGCTATCACCTGTGAAAATGTAAGAAAGAACACTCTCCATCTCTTCCTCTATAGGTTTGTGTGAACTGCATCACAATGATACCACACAGTGACCTTGGTTACTCCTTTCTCACACTTGGAAAAAAAATATAAAATTCTAAGATGTTTTGTTTTTGCAAGGTTCAAAGCTTTTGGAAACTATGTCAATACCTGTAAGGAGACGACATATTTACAGAGCGAAGATTCATAATAAGTTCATTGCAATCTCTTGCATCACTGTGAATTATACTGTCAGTTGTATTCATGCAGCTCTGAGTGCTGTCGAGACGCAGCGACAGCTCAGAGACGCTAGTCACTACTTTTGAACTCCAGATTGTTGTGAGTCCTCAAGTGAGATACATTTGGATACTCTGCTCAGGAGATACTGATGACAGTATAGATACAAATAAAAAAAAATATTACAGTGACTTTGGATTCTGAATTTGGTTCATATTTTTTTGCATGTCAAATTCTTGCAGATTATTTCAAATTGTAAATGTTGAGATTTCTAGCAGAAATGCTGATCAACACTTATGAAGTCAACACATAATACACACCAGCCCGGGCAGGTCATGGCTCATTCTGATTCAAAATGCAACCAAGAAAAGGACTTGATAGTTATTTATTTTCCTTATCTTCTCCCGATTTGTAATGCCAAACACCTCTCACCTCATCTCTCGTTTTTTTCAACAGTTGAACCTGGGCGAACCAAGAAAAATTGTTTTTTTGTATATCAGTTTACTTTGAAGAAATATACCCAAGCGTGTCCATGCAAAATAATGCTTCATTTAATAAGTCAAACATACACACACAAAAAAAACTTTTCAATTTTGGAGCATTTTGGTTTTCTGGTTTACAAAATGAAGGAGTCAGGGTTGTTGTACTGTTGGAATTTGGACCCATGGTATTCAACTTTCTAAATCTCTTGCTTTAGGAGGTTAGTTAAAGATGTAGTTTTGTCAAACATAGTCAGCTGTGTCTGGTGCTGTATGAAATTAAATTATTGAAACATGAATGTATTGACATTGGGTCCTATATGTTCTAGAAATGTGAAATAAACTTTGAAGTTGGTGCCTTCTTGGCCGAGAAAAGACAGAAAGTGTCTTTTTGGCTCATGTGGATGAAAGACACCAAATCCCAGAATGCACAGCACCGCAGGCCACTCCCACTAAGGTCCGAATCAGAATCAGAAATACTTTATTAATCCCAGAGGGAAATTCGATCGTTACAGTTTCTCCAAAATATACAATAGCAGTGGAAATATAGTAATAAAAACATTTACAGACATATTTACTTCAACACATAAGGCCATTTCCTCAACAGATTCCATGATTTCTTCCTGAATTGATCTTGGAAATTCAGACTCTATGTCTGTGTCCATAGGCAAACAGTGAGAGCACCGACACTACCAGTCCGCCCCAGCTTGAGCCGGCCCGGGCTCCTCGTCCTCACCGCCGCCGACAGGCTGCGGCCACAACAGCCAAAACACAAGAACGGCCTGTCAGCAGCAGCCGCCTCGCCGCTATATTTATATTTTTTCGCCATTATCAGCTTTCTCCATAGAGCCTGTTAACATAGCTTCCAAGCAATATGGCGGACGTTAAGTTTCGATCATGGGAGTGAGTTCCTACCCACTGATCTGTGATTGTTCTGTAGCTTCAGTGGTCGAAAATATGAGGAACTAGCGTTGTAGTTTCACCCCGCTAACCGCAACAGCTTATGATGACGCAAAATGCCGATTTTTGCGTCATCAGAAGCTCCTTTTCAGTGACATATAAAAGAGTTAATGTTTTTAAGATAAAGTTGATGTATGATATATATGGTAAGCTGTTTAATTCTTTTTAGACATTGTTCTGAATATGTGGCTGAAATCAGCATTTCCTATCCTGTATTCAGCCAAAGTTTACAGACAATATTATCCAACTGGCAAAAATATCTGTTGGTGTGAGACCTGTTAAGACACAGATATATAAAAAATGTGTTGGATGTTGGAATTGGATTTAGGGGAATTAATAACATGAGTAACAGTTTGTATTTTCAGAGACAATATTGTCACATGAACATGTTCTCATTGACCTTTTTGGTGATACATGAAAAATATCTTCACATATAGTTAATCCTGGAAGTGGCCAAAGTTCTTAACTTGATCAAATGAAAAGTGGGTTTTTCAAAGATAACATGCCCGATATATATGTGTCTCTTTCATCGTCACATTGGGCGCAGTATTTGAACACACCTTCAATGAAGTTCCTTTTAACTGCATGAGAGGCAGGCCTGGTGAACTCGCAAAAGTCTCCTCAGATAGCCGATGGTAAGCCTCTAAGTCATCACACACGCCTCTGTGGAGCGTCTGTGCTCCGTCTCCATCAGGCCTTTCAACTACAAAAGCCTCATCAAAAAAAAAAGATATGAAGAAGAAATCTTTCCCCCTCCTCCCCCCGAACCCCCTCTCTGTTTCCTCAAGCTCCCCAAATGCACATAGTGAAGCATCATTTTTTGAAAATTATTGATTATTGTTGTTAGATGCTGCTTCTAGACCATCATCAGAAAGAATCTCCATTTATTAACTCACTTGTTTATGCTCAGATTGACTGAAAGAAATCCCCTCAGTCTTTTACAGAACCGAATGTCAATTTTATTTTTTCAGCAAAAAAGGATAAAAACATCATTTGCACAATTCTGCGCCTTCAAAATAAATAATAATAATAATACATATCGGCTGTACATGTCGACACCCAATCATAACAGAACTTTTTTTTAAGCTGGAGAAACAAAGTGGGCACAATGCGGCGCATGAATATTATCATACAGTGTGTCCTTTACCATCAATAAACAAAACCATGGACATCATTGACTTCATGTTTGAATGACAATATATGCTGGACTCTGCAAACTACAGAAGCAAATTTCATTTACTTGACAAAACTGCAACTTCACCTCTCAGACCAAAAACGATTTTCTTGGGTCTAGTTTGCGTGAATCTCGCTATCAAAAACAACAAGCGGACTTTTCCAGCCCCCTTGCATCATACAAAAGCAGAACAACGGAATAGCTCAGAAAAAGAAACATCAGAGTTGGAAAATAGAAAGGCGGAAGAAAAAACAGACTCAGACAAACACTACATTGCAACATCTGCAAAATGTATTGTTAGGAGAATTAGAGAAATGATATCAATCCTGTTTCGCCCAGTGGAGACATCAAACTGACTGAGTGTCATTCTTTATTTTTTATTATTTGCACAACGTATGTCTTCACATCACTTCCTTAGCACATCAACTACTAGTTTATACTGTATGTGTGCAGTTGCACTTCTCATATAGTGTTGCGAGGTATGACAGAGTCCATGAATAATGTGCCTCTGTGTTTAAATGTTTATGAAAAAACATCTCACCAACCTGCTCCACAACCATCCCTAAAAAAAAAGGAAGAAAGAAAGAAAAAATCCATAGATTTCATGTTGTCAAATTCATATTGAACAGTCAAGTGACTACTGATTAGCCGCCAGGGACACAGCATTTCATGTGAAACGTTTTTTTTTTTTTTTTTAGCACAAAGATAGCAAAGGAATGCATCAAAGCAAAGGGTGCTGGGCCCATGCCCATCGCTGGAATGAAAGGACACGTTCCTCCCCGTAGAAATGCTCCAACATGTATGCATTCTGCAGTCAATGGTTGGGCTGGACCCCAAACTCGGAAACCTTTAATGTCTTTTGCACACAAGGTTTCCTCCTCCGTCGAGTCACTTTTGATGTCAAAACTCACCATGGCACGCTTTTGAAAATCCATACAAGGAGGTAAACAAACCCTAAACCTTTGAAGTCAAAGCGTTTTTCTCTCAATCTCTCTTGTGTTGTCTTTGAATCCTTTCCTCCAATGCGCCAAGGCAGACAAAATCATTTTCTCTGACAATAAATTACTTGTATTTTTATTTTTTTTGCCAAGTCCAAGAAATGTTGAGAGACATCGAGGGGCTATGAGAAGACACCGGCGCTGTCGCTGTTCCCGTAGAGGTCGGCCAGCTTTTTGAAGCGTGGTCCCCAGTTGCTCAGATAGTCGTAGTTCTGATCTGAATCTGTACTTAGTGACTCCAATGAGCTTAGAGAGTCTGCTACAGAGCCGCTGCCTTCAAAAGCATACGTCTGCAGAGAGTCGTACGGGGGAGCAGACGGGTCCACATCGGCGTCCTTAAGACGCTCCCAAATAAACTCTCGAAACACCACGTTGTCCGGCAGGGATTTGTAGGCTGGGCGAGTAGTTGATGGGTAATGAAAGAAGGTGGGAGTATCAGGTGTGACATCTCGCCGCACGTTGGGGTCCCTGATGACGTTTAGGTTACGCAGGGTGACCATGTCGAAGGCCTCTGTGTCCTCCTCTCCCCCGCCCTCGTCATCATAACGCACAATGTTCTCTCTGATGTCCCTCTCCTCCTCCAGGATCAGGGGCTCCTTCTTCCGCCGACGCATCGTCACAATTAGCAGAACCATCACTGCAGAGAGAGGGAGAGATGTTTGTGTTAGTCCTGACTAACAAGGTGCATATTTTCTGTGCCAGTCAGCTGAAAAGACGGGATAGTCTGCCATTAATAACGACTAAAGAATTTAATTTGTTAACGATAAGCTAAAAGCAATATCACATTTTGACCTAAAAGTAACGGATAAAAAGCTCTGTAGCACAGCTAGCTAAAATATTCTGATAAACAGTTAAAAACTGTAGCTACAGGTGAGGGATAAAAAGCTAAAATTATCGCACAAAGTAATGGATGAAAAGCAAAAAATGAGTTAAAATTGTTATCTAAAAACTGGATTCAAACTGTATAAAAAATGTAAAGTATTGGAGAAAGAAATAGTTAAAATATTGTTTTTCCGTGGACCCCCCAACAAAAACCCACACCAAAGTTTTAAATTCTTCCATGTGCTCATGTCTATCACGTTTGGTTATTGTACAAGTATTTAAAGCTCCTCAAAAACCATGTCCTTCATTTTACAAATAAAGATTGAATGATTGATTGATTGATTAAATAGTTTGCAAAAAAGGTTTTGAAGCCCTGCGCTGTAAATGCAATCAGTGTTTACAAAACTAGACCTGGAATGTAATAAATTGGCTCCCGCTGTGGTTTCATCTACCTCCATTCTGCTTCAAGACCTGCACAAAACTCCACCAAACTAAAGTCTTTGGCCCCTGTGAGATCTTACCAGAAGCCCTGCTCCAGCCCCTGCTCCCTCTCCCATACATTATTGCTGAAAATAACTCCACACCCAAGCAAACTGGCAAATGTCTAATGATCCTCTATCCATCAATGTCAAGCCGGTGCCAGTGAAATATCGTTCCATGGACCCATATTTCTTTTCCCCTCTCGGAGTCGAGATACTGCAGGCAGCAGAGTAAGAGGCCCAGGAACCAAATTCAAACACCACTTCACACCCTCTAATAAGGGAGTAAATGGAAGAGATGGAAGGGAGGAAAGTGTCACATGAAAGGCTGAAAGAGATGAATGGGCAGCTCTTGGTTGGCCATTTGCTGACTGCTGATACCCTACAACAGCCGCACTTTTACAGTTTTTTTTTTTTTTTCTTAGAAAGGCCCCTTCTGGTCTTTTACCCACAGCTAACATCCATGACACTTTTTTTTTTGGGCTTCATGCGGAACAACAAACATTTCTGTGGACTATTGTTTCCTCTGATTTTGGGAACTCATTCTGAATTCTATTCGATTCAGTAAGTGAATAACAAAGCTGCACATTGAAATATAATATTCTCAGTGCTCTCCAGCAAAGCTCTTTAGGGTTTAAAGCCTAGAAGGCAGGCATGATGCGTCACAGACTGGAAGCTGGCCTACATCCAACCACGTCTGACTAGGATGAGCAGGTGGATGGTCGCGCATACAAAGTTACGTTTTAGTTCAGGTACCAAGGGTCCTTTAAGAAATGATTTCCAGCTCAGACAATTTAGCAACACACACACACACACACACACACACACACACACACACACACACACACACACACACACACACACACACACACACACACACACACACACACACACAGTTCTACAGGAGTCTTCATAACACACTTGGTGATGATGTACACTGAACGAAAAACAGAGATCAATTTAGTGAAACAAAAGCTTTCGCAGTAATTGGGTTGTTTAAATGATCCACACTGCACAATCGATAACAAACAAGGTGAGTTTTCGGCGCTGCCCTTTTCTTACCAGCATGCATCAATGAGTGCACTTTCTCACTCGACTTTTCTTTTTCTTTCCATGTGCTCCGTGATTCTGGTGAACCTGGGACTGATTCACTTTTGTTTTTTTGCACCCACACACACTTCCTCTGTGTCGGTGCTGCAGTGAAAGCTCTATGAGATGTACGAATCAGCGACTGTATCACCCTCAGAGATGGAAGGTTTGTCTTTTAATACTAATTATGTGAGGAAGTTCATTTGTTGGACTCTTTTGTAACGCACTTTGGAAACCTATTTTCTCACTAAGTGTCTTCGAAAAAAATATGAAAAGTTCTGGACATTATTATGTGGTTTTGGTTTTGACTGGTTTGTGTTTTTGTGTCCTTCTCTGGGGTTATGAACAGGTTTGAAGGGGGGGACTTAGGTTTGAAGGGGGCGGACTTAGTCACTCAAATGGGATGTCAAATACATGGACCAATCAAGATTTAGAGAAATGACTCATAACATTTGTCAGGTTACAGTGCACTTTTGTATAATGAAATAAATTGTAATCCC